TTTCTACTTGTAATTTAATTGATTGATGGATATATTATTAACGTCCTTTAGAAGCTGATCACTTTAGCACATCTTGTCGTATAGCTTTTATCTATATTAATAAAATATATTAAAGATATATTGTGTTTCTTTACTTTAATTCGTAATTGTGATCTTTACTAATAAACACGTCGAAATTGATGTAAAAACTTTGCCCCTTCGTTTTCATCTATGTATCTTGATTAAACAAGCAACTAAATTATTAAGATTAACCGTAGTCTACAGTTATAACAATATAGGTTTGAAATGGTATGCTACTCGATTTTCTTAGGCTGTAGCAATGATTTTTGCAGTCTCTTAATAATACAGACAATGTTGTATATTTTAATTTTGAAATATTACATTACACAACAAAACTTATGTTATTTTCTTCTATATTTATATTCTGTGTAGTCATATTGAAAGTATCTACAATGTAGATTGCACCTGACAGTTCAGTTATGTTATGTATAACAAGAGTAAGTGTCACATTGCTTTAGAAAAGATAAAAGTATTAAAAAATATTTTTTTTTCATAAAACAGTCATTTAATAAAAATACTAGCAATGAAAATTTCGTGTGTAATATGAAATCTTTAAGATTATATTGTTTCATAAATATTATATTATTTAAAACAATTATAGTTATTTGTACAAGATGTTTCAAAATTTATATAAAAAAGTTATTTTAAATGATTTAATAATGAAAGGATGTTTGATTGAAATAAAGTTTAATTAGAAGTATAAAAATTAAAACAACAAAAACTCTGTACGATCAGTATTTTCTTTTATTTTGTGTTCTATATTTATTTATAAGATTAGCAGACTAACATTCAGTAATCATATAGGATGCTCTCTTGCACAGTTCTATAACTATTCATCAATAAAAGAAATCAAGACAGAAAGAAATTCCCAGAAAATAAGAGGGTAGGACTTCGTTTAAACGATCTTCCTTAACTATTACTGCATTATTTGAAAATATTTTTCCATACTGTTTATACATTACGATAATTAGAAAGTGTTTTCAACTAATCAGCTTTGCCTACTAAAGTTAAGATTTGATCCGTATTTGTAATATTTTTGATATTATTACAATTATTTAATGTTTTGATTTTCAGACCAATTCAAAGATTCGTTTAAACAATTTCCCTCACACAGACATTTTGATGAAACGCAGTATGAATAAAAACCTTTCCTTTTTTGTTTTATACGTTTAATTACAAAAGAGCAGATTCAACGTGCAATTTATATACAGTTCTAGAGGTCCAAAAGATCTATAGATCGTTTGTTCAAGAACTTCACAGAATATATTTACAAGAATCTTAACGATAGTAATTGAAATCAAATAAAAAATTAAAGTTGTTTGCGCGATATGAACTGTACAATTAAATCATGAATTAAAATAGTAAATACTTCATTTCTATTATCATTAATTCTGTTTGTGATATAGTAATATATTGATCGACAAACATTTTTTTTCTGGAGATTCATTGTTCACCAGAAGGAACCATTATTAATATTTTGTAATCTGCTAAAAATACTTGAATGATGAATTAGTATAAAATTTAATTACTTTCATAATTTAAATGGTTAATTTCTCTGTTTGTTTAATGAACTTTTAACAAAAAAAATAATGCTGTAAGAAGACCTTTTAGAAGACATCATTTCTGTATTCAATTTGTTCATATAATAATCGATACAAATTTGATGAAAATCATGGTTTATGATTTGTCACTAATATACAGAAGATTATATTTATTTACAATCGCAGTAATTTAAATATTACGGGCCCGGTTAACAGATAAACTTGAAAAGGAATTTCAAGCGAATGAAATTCCAATTTCATTTATTTTTCCAATTGCTATACTTTATTAATTACAATGATCACTCGTGTATAATTTATCACTAAATTTGTAGTAGACCAGTAAAAAGTAATGCAATGTCATTATCATTACTACTTAGTAAATGTAACTGCGGTTATATTTGGGTCAAACAAATTTAGGTCCATACGAACAATTTCTACAAAAAATTCAGATTTTTCTTTTGTTTCATCATTTTTCTTAAATAGAATAACTTTTCAATTTAAAATTTTAGTTTATATTTTATGCAAAAGTAAGTCTGTAAAAAATTGAAAATTGTGTAGGGCCCCTTAACTAGTAGCCTAATTACTTACATTCGGATTACTCATATTGTTCATAATATTGCCTAAACTATCAGTATTATTTGGTACTGTCAATTGACGTACCCTTTTAAATACTATTTCATCACGAGTTCTTAAAACGATCAGATGAACAAAACAAACAAAAGACAAAGGAAAATAACCGAGGGCCCTCGCTTTTCACTCTCTCACTCTCGAGTCAGATTTTCTAAAAGGTAGTAAGAACTGAGAGTTTCTTATCACAATTAATAAAACAATTGACAGCACGAAAACTCAAAATTCTTATTATTTAAAAAATCTAGAATCAAACTATTTCTATTTTTGGAAGACATTTTGCAATCATTTTTGTTGAAATAGTGTTAAATATTATAATTCGTTTTTGTAGTATTTTCACATCGAAATATATTATGAAGTTATATCTTGACATAAAAAATATGACTTTCTTCTCAATTGTGTATATTCATTTCAATTATATATTAACCTAAATTAACATTTACATTAAAAATGTCTAATCTTGTTAGAAAGCATTGCTTACAAAAATCTCTAGTAGTTATCCAATATAAAATTCAAATTGGTTGTGTAGAAATTTTACTTCATTATGCAAAATATTTAAAAAAAAGGATCTTCCTGATCTAGTTTGTAACAATTTAAAAAATGCACATTTACAATGAAAAAATAAATATATGTTAATTCTACATATGTAAGAATGACTTGTGGAAGATATACTGTTAGTCTCAAGAGTTACAGAGTGAAAAAGAGAGTATGGTTACACATGCACGCACATTCATTCATCTTAGGCACATTTACATACTCGATATAAAAGCACATCACAATGATCGAATCGACGATCTTGAAGAGTCTTTCATTTAAAGCGATCCTTCGGTCGATATACATATACATACAATAAGTTTTTCGAAGGTGCGGAGAGCCCAAATTGATTATTCAAACGATCAATTTTATCAATCTATTAATTACAATTACTTTATCAAATATAATTCAATGTAAATAAGACTTTTATACGTAGGTTTTTCTTTAAGTATTAAACGTACTTTCCAATATTCGCATTTATGTTGCATATTTGTAAAACCGTTACTCATAAAGTAAATATTATTAATCTTACATCAAGATCAAGCAAACAGGAACTTTTCAATTTAATCTTTTCATATTTTTTAAAGGCTTAAATAGAAAAAAAGACAAAAAAAAACGAAAAAAAATA